AAAAAAAAAAGGGCTTCCCTGGTGGCGCAGTGGTTGAGAGTCCGCCTGCTGATGCAGGGGACAGCAGAATATATATATATATAGAATATATATATATAGAATATATATTTATAGAATATAAATCTATATATTTACTATATATAAATATATTATATAAATATAAATATTCTATATATTTATATAAGTTGTATTCTTTTTTCAGATCACTTTGCTGTGTACCTGAGACATTGTAAATCAACTATACTTCAATTAAAAACTTTTTTTAAGTAAATGCTTAAGAGATGTTTGTTGGTGATAACACTCAGGCTGAAGCAGTTGCAATGTGGAAAGATCTAACACATCTCTTTTGGAAAAAGCAATTTTTCACTGGATACCATCAAGTCATAAAAGGTTTATACCTGTTGACTTTATAATCTCCTTTTGGGAGATTTAGCCTAAAGAAAAATTCAAACAGGAAAGAGAGTTATGTGAATTAGTGCCTTTATTGCAAAATTATTGATCATAGCAAAGCATTAGAAATTATGCACATGGCTTCAAAGGAGAAGACCTAAGCGCATCAACCCATGGGAATGCCAGGCCATGGTGAAAACTGCAAAATCCGGGGATGAGGTAGCTGTCTGTGAACGGACCCCGAACAATGTCCGTTATGTATTGTGGAGTAATTAAAAAAGAGAAAGCAAGCCAGCAGCTCTCAGCTCTCAGCGAGTGTGTTTCACAGGGGCGCGTGTGATTGCGTGAGCTACTTGCTGCAGTCTCGCAGTCTCGAGCGATCTGTGGCCACGAAAGCAGCGCAGGGTGTGTGGCTGTTCATCTTCTCCCAGTATGCCCTCCAATCAGTTCTTTTCTTCCCTGGAGGAAGCCCAACATTCCCTGATAACCACCTGTGAGTCACAACCACTCTTCGTTTTCTTCAAAGCCCTGATGCAGTAGCCTTTAAGCTGGTCAACTAATGTGGGTGATTCCCTAGCGGGCACTGGGAAGAGGTGGCACTTCCTGGCTCCATACAGTTTGAGTATTTCTCTGTGAGTCTGAAATTGGCTGTTTACAACGATTCTTCCTGGACCCAGATTCCTCCCTGCAGAGTGTGACAGTCTGGTCACTTTCATGGCAACGCTGTCTTTTCCCTTCTCACCTCCCAGGTTTTGGGACCTTGTCACAGATGCCAGATGATTTGCATCGATCAGCAAACTGGGCAGAGAAACCGAAATGTTTTCCAAAAGCTTTCTGAGAGGCGAGAGAGAAAGGTAAGCATGATTGCTAAAAATGACACCCCATTTTAAGTTCCTGATGCATTGTCTACACCAGAACTAATCCTTAATAGTGCTGAGTAATTTTTAGAAGTGGGAGAGCATTGTACGGCTGATGGGCTACCATCAAGGTGCAGACCTTATCCGCGACACTGTCTTATTTTTCCTTTCCATTCATTTCCTCACTATTTTCATGACATGTGTTTCTGATGCTTTCAAATCTACTTGAAGAGATATGGAGTATAGATAAGAAATAGTTAAAAAAAAAAGAGGGGGGGACTTTCCTGGTAGTCCAGTGCTTAAGACTCTGTGCTTGCACTGCAGGGGGCACGTGTTCCACCCCTGGTGTGCAAACTAAGATACCACATGCTGTACGGTGCGGGCAAGGGGAAAAAAGAGAGAAATAGTAAATAAGTAAAGTAATTCTATTGTCTCAATCATTATTTTCTTCGCCACAGAAATCTCATGAAGAATAAAAATGCCTTATGGTGAATAGGGTAGCTGCATAGAAAATAAATTTCACTATACTAAGTTTGTAAGTCATCTTCTTGAGGGCTAAAATAACTAAGTGTTGTTGTGGATCCCAGATTATAAAAGCTGAACTTCTAAGAGATTGATTCATTAGGAACATCCATTTATTTCCAGGCTTGCACTTTCTGTCAGGACTTTTGGTTTGCAAAGAATTCCAGGAAGCCAAATAAGCAATCAGGCTGCACAGAACAATTCTTGAAAATTAACAGAAATAATGCAAGCATTTCATCTCTTCCCAGTAATAAACTGGCAAGTTAACTCATGGTAAAATGTTCTGCATCGTTTCCTGTGTTTCTCCAAAACCAGAGTTTTGTTTCACAGTATTTGATTGACAAAACTCTCCTTACGGATATGGATAGGTATGGTCTGCAGAGCTGTTGCGCTTGAGTATTATACCAACAAGTCTGTTTGCTCAGCTGTGGCAGGTCGTGCCAACTGGGGGCGTGGGGACCTGGAGCCTGCCCCATGCAGGTTGCCAGGAGAGAGGATGTGTGGGCCCAATACTATGGTACATGGAAATGGTATTTCTCAGCATCACAATAATTCTTGTGCACAAATCTTTTTATTTTTCAAATTTGGAATAATTTTAGATTTACAGAAAAATTGCAAAGATAGTACAGAGAGTTCCTGTGTACTCTTCACCTATATGTACACAAATATTAAGGAATTACTTTATCCCCAGTCCCTAGCTTGGGGCCTGGAACGTGGTGGTGGCCAACTGATGTTATCACAGGTCTGGGAGCACATCACATACTCCAAAGTGTTGTTACTGGCTCACTTGCATTGGTGGCAAACTTTTTTTTTTTAATTTAACTTTTATTTTATATTGGTGTAGAGTTGACTTACAATGTTGTGTCTGTTTGAGGTGGACAGCAACTTGATTCAGTTATACATATCCATATACCTATTCTTTTTCTGATTCTTTCCCCATTTAGGTTATTACAGAGTGCCAAGTAGAGTTCCCTGTGCTGTAGAGCAGGTCCTTGTTGATGATCTGTTTTATATATATATTAGTGTGTATAATATGTTAATCCCAACCTCCTAATTTACCCCTCCCCCCCTGGTCCCCTCCCAACCATAAGTTTCTTTTCTAAGTCTGTGAGTCTGTTTCTGTTTTGTCAAGTAGTTCATTTATATCAATTTTTAGATTCCATCTATAAGTGATATCCTATGATATTTGTCTTTCTCTGTCTGACTTAGTTCAGTTAGTATGATGATCTCTAGGTCCGCCATTGTTGCTGCAGATGGCGTTATCGCATTCCTTTTTATGGCTGAGTCTCCATTGTCTATATGGACCACATCTCCTTTATCCATTGTCTATATGGACCACATCTCCTTTATCCATTCATGTGTTGATGGACATTTTGGTTGCTTCCATGCCTTGGCTATTGCAGATAGGCTGCAATGAACCTTGGGGTGCATATGTCCTTTCGAATCATGGCTTTCTTTGGATATATGCCCAGGAGTGGGACCGCTGGATCATACTGGTAGCTCTAATTTTAGTTTTTAGGAACCTCTATCCTGTTCTCCACAGTGGCTATTATCAATTTCCATTCTCACCAACAGCATAGGAGGGTTCCCTTTCTCCATGCCCTCTCCAGCTCTCACTATTTGTAAGGTTTTTTTTAAAATTAATTTTTACTGGAGTACAGTTGCTTTACAATATTGTGTTAGTTTCTACTGTACAGCAAAATGAATCAGCTATATATACATATATCCCCTCTTTTTTGGATTTCCTTCGCATTTAGGTCACCACGGTGCATTAAGTAGAGTTCCCTGTGCTATACCGTATGTCCTCATTAGCTCTCTTTTTTTTTTTTTTTTTTTTTTTTTTCGGTACGCGGGCCTCTCACTGTTGTGGCCTCTCCCGTTGCGGAGCACAGGCTCCGGACGCGCAGGCTCAGCGGCCATGGCTCACGGGCCCAGCCGCTCTGCTGCATGTGGGATCTTCCCTGACCGGGGCACGAACCCGTGTCCCCTGTATCAGCAGGCGGACTCTCAACCACTGCGCCACCAGGGAAGCCCTAGCTCTCTATTTTATACATAGTATCAATAGTATATATGTATCAATCCCAATCTCCCAATTCCTCCCACCTCACCCCGTTTCCCCCTTGGTATCCATACATTTGTTTTCTACGTCTATGTCTCTCTCTCTCTGCTTTGCAAATAAGATAATTTATACCAGCAGTCCCCAACCTTTTTGGCACCAGGGACCGGTTTCGTGGAAGGCAGTTTTTCCATGGACGGGGATGGGAGACGCCGGGATGGTTCAGGAAGTAATGTGAGCGGGAGCGATGGGGAGTGGCAGATGAAGCTTTGCTCGCTCACCCGCTGCTCACCTCCTGCTGTGTGGCCCTGTTCCTAACAGACAGTGGACTGCTACTGGTCCGCGGCCCAGGGGTTGGGGCCCCCTAGTCTAATACCATTTTTCTAGATTCCACATATATGTGTTAATATATGATATTTGTTTTTCTCTCTCTGATGATGGCAAACCTTGAGTAGACTTACACAACTCTTCATTTTCGACCTCCCATCCTTATTCTGGAGAATTTGGAGAACTTAACTTACGTCACGCATTCTTATAGAAAATGCTGAGTTTTGCCCTTATTTTCACAAAATGGTTTTTACATCAGGGAACAGAGCAGAAATCGGCCTGACCGTGGTCAGAGGCCCAGAGGAGGAAGAAACCCTCCTGTGGGAAACTCAGGGTACACGGGAAGGAGAAAATAATAGGTCCAGCAATAAAGAGGTATAGGTTGAGTATTGGGAAAGAATACTTTAAAACGAGAATCTGTGTGGTCTAAGATATTAGGATTCTCCTTGTTTCTCACTACCTTCTACTAAATGACAGATAGGACATATCAAGTCCCAGCACATGGTTTTAAAGATCTGACTTAATTTTAGTGGAACATTATTATTTACAAAAGTATTTTAACTGCTAAAATAATCTAACTTCTGTTGTTACTGTTTTGTTCACAGGTGAACTTTGGGCTGTACCTGATGCATACCTCTTTGGATTTATCTACTCCATGTTACCTGTCTGTAGGATCTCAGGTGCTCCCTGTGTTGAAAGAAAACATAGAACACTATGATTTACCTGCTTCTGAGAAACAGCAGGAAGTTATCTCCTAAAGTTTTTTTCAGCATATATTAAAATTTCTCTTTTACACCTATCTCCATTCTTTTTTTTCTTCCAGTTTTGTTGAGATATAATTGACATACAGCACTGTGTAAGTTTAAGGTGTATAGCATAATGACTTGACTTATAGACATCATGAAATAATTACCCTAGTAAGTTTAGTGAATCATCTCAGATAGATATAAAGTTAAAGAAATAGAAAACAATGTGTAATTTTGCCTTGTGAAGGGAACTCGTAGGATTTACTCTCCTAAATTTCATACATAGCATACAGCAGTGTTCATTGTATTTATCATGTTGTACATTACATCCCTGCTACTTATTTATCTAATAACTGGAAGTTTGTACCTTTGGACTTCCTTCATCCAATCCCTCACCCACCTCCCCCCTCTGGTAACCACAAATCTGATCTTTTTTTCTATGAGTTTGTTTGTTCTGAAGTATAATTGACCTACAACATTATGTTAGTCCCTGGTACACAACATAGTGATTCAATATTTCTACACCTTTCAAAATGATCATCAGGATAAGTCTAGATATGATATGTCATCATACAAAGATATTACATAATTATTGACTATATTCCCCACACTGTACATTTCATAACCTTGACTCATTTATTTTGCAACTGAAAGTTTGTACCTCTTAATTTCCCTCACCTGTTTCTCTCCTCCTCCCACCCCCGCCCCCCGCTTCTGGCAACTACCTGTTTGTTCTCTGTATCTATGACTCTGTTTCTATTTAGTTATGTTTGCTCATTTGTTTTGTTTTTCAGATTCCACATATAAGTAAAATCATACTTATTTTGTCTTTCTCTGTCCGATTTACTTCACAATTACCATAATATCCTAAGTCCATCCATGTTGTCAAAAATGGCAAGATTTCATTCTTTTTTATGTCTGAGTAATATTCCATTGTATATGTGTACCGTATCTCTTTATCCATTCAACTTAGGTTGCCTCCATACCTTGGCTATTGTAAATATGCTGCAATGAACATTGGGATGCAAATATCTTTTTGAATTAGTGTTTTCATTTTCTTTAGATAACAACTCAGGAGTAGAATTGCTGGATCATATGGTAGTTCTATTTATAATTTTTTGAGGAACCTCTATATTGCTTTCCATTGTGGTTGCACCAATTTACATTCCCATCAATAGTGCACAAGGGTTGCCTTTTCTCCACATCTTCATCAGCACTTGTAATTTGTTTGCCTTTTTGATGATAGCCATTCTTACAGGTATGATGTGATATCTCATTGTGGTTTTGATTTGCATTTCCCTGATGATTAGTGATGTTGAGCATCTTTTCTTTCTTTCTTTTCCTTTTCTTTCTCTTTTTTCTTTTTTTGGCTTATAAACAACAGATATTTATTTTTCACAGTTCTGGAGACTGGCAGTCCAAGGTCAAGGTGCTTGCAGATTCAGTGTCTGGTCAGGCCCCTCTTCCTTTTTCACAGCCAGCTCCTTCTTGCTGTGTCCTCACCTAGTAGAAGGGGTGAGGGAGCTCTCTGGGGTCTCCTTTATAAGGGCACCAATTCCACTGATAGGGTCGGAGCATCTTTTCATGTGCCTGTTGGCCATCTATGTCTTCTTTGGAAAAGTGTCTATTCAGGTGCTCTGCCCATTTTTTAATCAAGGGCTTTTGTTTGTTTGTTTATGTTGCATTGTATGAATTCTTTGTATACTTTGGATATTAACCCCTTATTGGATACATCATTTGCAAATATCCTCTCCCATTCTGTAGGTGTCCTATTTGTTGTTGATAGTTTCCTTCGTTGTGCAAAAGCTTTTTAGTTTGACATAGTCCCATTTGTTTATTTTTGCTTTTGCTTCCCTTGCCCTGAGGAGACATATCCAAAAAATATTGCTAAGAGTGATGTCAAAGAGACTACTGCCTATGTTTTCTTCTAGAAGTTTTATGGTTTCAGTCTTACATTTAAGTCTTTAATCCATTTTGAATTTATCTTTGTACATGATGTGAAAGAGTAGTCCATTTTGATTCTTTTGCATGTAACTATCCAGTTTTCCCAACATCATTTATTGATGAGGTTGTCTTCTCCTCATTGTATATCTTGCCTCCTCTGTCATAGATTAATTGCCCAGGGACTTCCCTGTGGTCCAATGGTTAAGACTCTGTGCTTCCACTGCAGGGGGCATGGGTTTGATCCCTGGTCAAGGAGCTAATATCCTGTATCCTGCATGCCACGTAGTGTGGCCAAAATATATATATATGTATACACACACACACACACACACATACATATATACGCACATATACATACATACATACATATATAAATTGCCCATATAGGGACTTCCCTGGTGGCACAGTGGTTAAGAATCCACCCACCAATGCAGGGGACATGGGTTCAAGCCCTGGTCCAGGAAGATCCCACATGCCGCTGAGCAACTAAGCCCGTGCGCCACAACTACTGAGCCTGTGCTCTAGAGCCCATGAACCACAACTACTGAAGCCTGCATGCCTAGAGCCCGTGCTCCGCAACAAGAGAAGCCACCGTGATGAGAAGCCCTCACACTACAACGAAGAATAGCCCCACTCGCCTCAACTAGAGAAAGCCCGTGCGCAGCAACAAAGACCCATAGGAATTCGCCCATTTCTTCTAGGTTGTTCATTTTATTGGTGTAGAGTTGTAGTAATCTCTGATGATTTGTATTTCATTGGTGTTGGTTGTAACTTCTCCTTTTTCTTTTCCAATTTTATTTCTTTGGGCCCTCTCAGTATTTTTCCTTGATGAGTCTGGCTAAAGGTTTATCAATTTTGTTCATTTTTTCAAAGATCCAGTTTAGTTTCATTGATATTTTCTATTGTTTTTTAGTCTCTATTTCATTGATTTCTGCTCTGATCTTTATGATTTCTTTCCTTCTACTAACTTTGGGTTCTGTGTGTTCAACTGTCTGTGCCCTCATTAAGATCAACAACTTGGTCTTTTGAACACAGAGAGTTCTTTTCCTCTTGAAGGTAGAGAGTGCCTTCACTAGCTTCCTTCCTCTAACTCCACACTCTCCTTGTGTGCACAACCCCACTCAGGAGGGCAGTTCTGAGGCTTCTGTGCTTTCCAAGAGGCAAATTTAGCACAAGTGCTGCATCCACACCCAGCAAGGCTCCCACGTGTGTTAGAAATATGATCATTTCTAATTAGATGAGATTTTTAGTGACTCTCGCTGGGAATATTTAACCTCCTCTATTTTGCCATTTTACCATGCTCCTACTTTGCCTTTAGAAAGACACTTTTGGCTGTCTTCTTGCACTGAGGAAGGTAGTCTGTGCCCAGTGATCTTGAGGGAATGAGAACGTGCCTCGCTTCCCTCATGTACACAGAGGAGCTGGGTTTATGCTCAGGGCCTAGTGTGACTTGTGTCCACATTCCTTAGGAGAGGTTTGACCAGGATGTGTTGATCAAGGCACGGGCCAGCAACCCCCTTCCTGCTAATTCCTACTCCTGCCCATCATTCCTCTCCCCCTTTGAGTTGCTGCACTGAGTATTGCTAGCAAGCTTGATGTCACACTCAGTGACTTGGTGTTATATGAGCAATTGTGTTCCCTCCCACAAGCCCATCAGACAGTGTTGGTCCATCCACCCAGAGCCTCCAAATCCTAGTCAAGAGAGGAACTTTGGACTCGGAAGTTTTTTCAAGATGGCGGAGTAGAAGGACGTGCGCTCGCTCCCTCTTGCGAGAGCACCGGAATCACAACTAACTGCTGAACAATCATCGACAGGAGGACACTGGAACTCACCAAAAAAGATACCCCACATCCAAAGACAAAGGGGAAGCCTCAATGAGATGGTAGGAGGGGTGCAATCACAATAAAATCAAATCCCATAACCATTGGGTGGGTGTCTCACAAACCGGAGAACACGTATACCACAGAAGTCCACCCACTGGAGTGAAGGTTCTGAGCCCCACGTCAGGCTTCCTAACCTGGGGGTCTGGCAACAGGAAGAGGAATTCCCAGAGAATCAGACTTTGAAGGCTAGCGGGATTTGATTGGACTTCGACAGGACTGGGGGAAACAGACACCACTCTTGGAGGGCACACGCAATGTAGTATGCACATCAGGCCCCAGGGGGAAGGAGAAGTGACCCCATAGGATACTGAACCAGACCTACCTGCTAGGGTTGGAGGGTTTCCTGCAGAGGCGAGGGGGTGGCTGTGGCTCACTGTGATGACAAGGACACTGGCAGCAGAAGTTCTGGGAAGTACTCCTTGGCATGAGCCCTCCCAGAGTCTGCCACTAGCCCCACCAAAGAGCCTGGGTAGGCTCCAGTGCTAGGTTGCCTCAGGCCAAACAACCAACAGGGAGGGAACCCAGCCCCACCCATCAGCAGACAAGCAGATTGAAGTTTTACTGAGCTCTGCCCACCCAAGCAACACTCAGCTTTACCCACCACCAGTCCCTCCCATCAGGAAACTTGCACAAGCCTCTTAGATAGCCCCATCCACCAGAGGGCAGACAGCAGAAGCAAGAAGAACTACAATCCTGCAGCCTGTGGAATGAAAACCACATTCACAGAGAGACAAAATGAAAAGGCAGAGGACTATGTATCAGATGAAGGAACAAGATAAAACCCCAGAAAAACAACTAAATGAAGTGGGGATAGGCAACCTTCCAGAAAAAGAATTCAGAATCATGATAGTAAAGATGGTACAGGACCTCGGAAAAAGAATAGAAGCAAAGGTCGAGAAGATGCAAGAAATGTTGAACAAAGGTCTAGAAGAACAAACAAACAGAGATGAACAATACAATAACTGAAATGAAAAACACACTAGAAGAAATCAATAGCAGAATAACTGAGGCAGAAGAATGGATAAGAGACCTGGAAGACAGAATGGTGGAATTCACTGCTGCTGAACAGAATAAAGAAAAAAGAATGAAAAGAAATGAAGACAGCCTAAGAGACCTCTGGGACAACATTAAATGCAATAACATTCGCATTATAGGGGTCCCAGAAGGAGTGGAGAGAGAGAAATGACCCGAAAAAATATTTGAAGATATTATCGTCAAAA